GGGCACTGATAGGCAGTACTAATGAGGTGGCACGGATAGGCGGCACTGATAGACAGCACTAATTAGGGGTCACGGATAGGCAGCACTGATATGCAGCACTGATAGGCGGCACTGATAGGTGACACTGATGATGGGTACTGATAGACGGCACTGACTGGCATCACTTCTGGGCACTGACTGGGTGGCACTGGCTGGCACAACCCCTGGGCACTGACTGGTGGCACTGACTGGCAGCACTGCTGGGCTGCACTGGTGGGTGGCACTGGTGGGCAGCACTGGTGGGTGGGCACAGGTGGGTGGCACTGGTGGGCACAGGTGGGTGGCACTGGTGGGCACAGGTGGGTGGGCACAGGTGGGTGGCACTGCTGGGCACATGTAGGTGGCACTTCTGGGCACAGGTAGGTGGCACTGCAGAGTGGCACAGGTGGGTGCACTGCTGGGCACAGGTGGGGGCACTGCTGGGCACAGGTGGGGGCACTGCTGGGAACGGGTCGGCGGGGCTAGTGGGCGCACTGCTGGGCGGAACTTGCGGGTGTCACTGCTGGGCACCGATCATCAGGGCACTGATCATCAGTGCCCTGATGATCGGTGCCGATCCCCGCTCTGACAACTGCCGGTTCTCGGCAGTACTTTCCTCACGATCTGACAGCGTGAGGAAAGTGCAGCCGAGAACCGGCACTTGCATTTCCCTGTGATCAGCGTGTCATTGGACACCGCTGATCACGTGGTAAAAGGCCGGTGGGATCGGCCTTTCACCACATCACGTGATCAGCTGTGTCCGTAGGACACAGCGATCACAGAGATCGCCGGGGTGGTGCGCGCCCCCTGGGGCGCGCAGGAGAGCGCGTTCTGGGAGGACGTCATATGACGTCCACTCAGAACTGGCCGGCGCGCGTGTGAAGCCGTCATTCGGCTATGCGCGGTCGGCAAGAGGTTAATGATACATATATGTAACATATCATAGTCATAATAAATAACTGTATCTCTACAATATAATAACTCTACCAACTTTTGTTTTTTTTAATTTGGACCCCGTTAGTGTTATGCCCTGTTGTGCTGGTATGCAAAGCATACTAGTATATTATGGCAGACTTACCTTTAAAATGGAGCTTCCAGTGCTGTGCTTTCACCACTGTTGGCACCCCCATGCTCGCCCCGGCCTTCCTTCTGGATTCGCACTCTTTGACTGGTTGAATAACTGAGCTACGATGACGTCACTCCTATGCATGGGCACAGGAGTCATTTTCACGGCACAGTGCTCTGCATTCACAGCACACTCAGTCCAAAGCAATGACGGGCAACCACGCTGGAGCACAGGCCTGTACATAGGAAGTGGCTGCTAAGAGGTTGAAGGAGATCAGCAGCTCGGAGATCCAAAAATAATTTAAAATTGTAAAACCTGTACTATTAAAAGAAAAAAATTTCATTTTTTATAATACACACTGCAGCAAAATGAAATGTTTGGACTATCCTTACATTTTGCTCTGCTTGCCTCGTTTGGAAACCACTAATACATTTAAAGGAAGCAAGTGCAATGTCACCAAAGTCAAACGTTCCTATGTTTTTCTCACTGCCTTATAAGCTATTCATGATGAAAGTTGATCCCAATCACACATTCAAAAATCCATACACACACAAATCTTTCAATGACAATGACCAATGGGAGGAAATCCTGTTTGACTGCATTGCTAAACCGCCAGCTGCAACTTTCATGCTTGACGCAGCAGAGAAAGCCGCATTCCCATTTTTGTTGTGCTAAAGGAATGATTGTTGACCAATTAGAGATTTTCCAGCACTCTGATAAGTCTTCCAATAATTAGTACCTCCAGTGCACCAAACAGCTGCTTCAACATTAACTCTTTCCAGTCACATTTCTGCAAATGTTGCCTGCAAAGAGGGCTCCAGGAATCGTCGGCAAAGACCCGCCCTTGCTTAATGATACTGTACATATATGTAACATATCAGTCATAATAAATAACTATATAACTATATAATAACTCTACCACCTTTTTTTTTAAATTTGGGCCCCATTACTGTTATGCCCTATTGCAAAGAATACCCAATCACATACAAGAAAAACAAAAACGGCATGTTTGCTTGCACATGATTGGACCTCAATCACTAAGCTCTGGGTCAATTGCCATTGTCAAGTGCAACTTCCCTTGCAGTGTAAACAGCCTATTTGCCTTTAGTAAATCAACCCCTATGAGTGGTTGCTCTGACACTCAATCTGCAGAAAGCTTCCACCATCAGGAAACCAATCCAAAGCAATGATGGGCAACCACGATGGAGCACAGGCCTGTACATAGGAAGTGGCTGCTAAGAGGTTGCTTAATGATACATATATGTAACATATCATAGTTATAATAAATAACGGTATCTTTAGAATATAATAACTCTACCACTTTTTTTTTTTAATTTGAACCCCGTTAGTGTTATGCCCTGTTGTGCTGGTATGCAAAGCATACTAGTATATTATGGCAGACTTACCTTTAAAATGGAGCTTCCAGTGCTGTGCTTTCACCACTGTTGGCACTCCCATGCTCACCCTGGCCTTCCTTCTGGATTCGCACTCTTTGACTGGTTGAATAACTGAGCCACGATGACGTCACTCCTACGCATGGGCACAGTGCTCTGCATTCACAGCACACTCAATGTATCCTGAATGCAGAGCGACATTGCGCATGCACAGTGACATCATTGGCTAGAGTCAGTGTAAATATCTAGTAAACGTTGCAAGTTTAGGAGAAATTCACTGTACCTATAGGTAAGACTTACTATCAGCTTACCTGTAGGTACAAAGTGTAAATCAGAGTTTACTACCTCTGTAAGCCAAATCAATCATTACCTTTGTTTTGATGGATACATTTTCATTTCAACCAATCAAATCTATGGGTGATCATTTGGTAAGTACAATTATAAGGTGTATGACCAGTGTTAGTTTTGCATAACCTGCAAAGACTTTACTCCTCTATTCCACCTTCCCAACAAAACACGTGCCCTAACATGCGTTCCATTTTCAGTTCAAAACAGATCGGCATTGGCGAACCGCAGCATGAAGTATGTCTTTCCCAATGCCAAGCAAGGCAACTCATTGGTGTGAACAGGTCCTTTTGAAAACAATCTATTTTCTCTTGTCCATGCCTTTTTCTGTGTTTTTAAAAATGTATCAAAGTACTATAAAACGTGTCTGGTGAGAAAAAAGCCCGTATTAAAGCTGCCAGGGTATCTTCAGCCAAAAGAGGTGTTCACTTAACCACTGAACGTCTAATACCTCCGCACTTCCTTTTCTGATGAAGACACAAAAGAACAATAGCCTGAGAACCGTCTTCATTTTGCGCCGAGGACCTCTTGTATTTTCAAGTACATAGACTGTCGTTTTGTGTTTTTACGTATGTTCACGGATCACACGTATGAGGGTTTTTTTTTTCTCCTATCTTAGTCACAGTTCTCTAGCACATTAGCTGAATAAAGTTCCCTAGCTGGGGGATTATTATAAGGTGTCACCAGTGCCAGACTTTGCATGCTATGATGTACAAGTTGTGACTAGCGGAAGCTTCGTTTAGGCTGAGGGTCAGATTAACCTAACACCTCCTTTTAAACACTTCATAAAACTCATTTCAGAAGGAAGACCGTTCAGCAGAAATATGCAAAGCACACAGTGCCACAGCCTCAAATAATCTTGTCAACTGAAAATGAGTTAGGGGAGATAAAGCCTCAATCCTGTTTAGCTTTTTTTTAAAAAAAAAAAAAAAAAAAAAACTATTTTCTAATCATCTCTTGAAATGGTTCCATCAAGTATATGCAGTAGGCCGTTGCAGTACAACATGGAGGTACTGTTGTTCTGCATTGGCCATATTGACACAAATGCTAAAATCTCATGGGTAGTGCTAAACCTGGCTTTAGATTCAAACAAGTGCTGGGTATTGAAGAGATTGACGTCTGATTGGTTCATCTCAGACAGTTCTTACCTGGGATAATTTTATACACAAAACCTAGTAACATTAAGCTGTTATCTGTCCTAGGTTTTGCTCAGTTCAACCAATTAGATCAGCATGTATTGTATCTAGTATATTTGACACCCGGAGCAGATAGTTTTTTTCCATCCATGTAACAATCAGTTACAATCTTGAAATTAGACAAATATTGACCAAAAAAGAAATATCAATGGTTGAAAATTGCAGTGCCCCTTGGTGGTTAGTGGAAAAGCACCTTCCTGTTTTGGTAGTCGGACTAGTGGTCCTGGGGAGAAGGACCTTTATATTAATGGACAATGGGAGAAACCAATAGCTCTGTATAAAAGATAGGGTATATATAAGGGCTGAGACGATTAGTATAGCACTTGGTACAGCAGCTGTGGTGAATTAAGGGATCACCTTCAAAGCGCTGGTTCACATTATTTAAAACGCTCTTAAGCCAGCCATAGAGGGTGCTGTTTTCTTTCCTGCAACCACAGGTTGGAAAGAAAATCACTGGATTCCCCTATCAACACCCCCATCAACACAGTCATGGTCCCTCCCGCGGAGCCATTGTGTTCTCCCAGCGAGGAGCCCATCTCCAACAAGGAAACACAATGATTACGCAGCAATAATCTCATGAAAAATCAGACAAACTGGTTGTACCCAAGTTGATCAATCAAATCAAAATGGGTACATTCAACCTACCTATACATGGTTCGAATCCGTCTATGGCTGGCTTTACATTGTTGGCCAGTGGTCAAAACTACCCCCTTGTAAATAATCGATATCAGCGGTTACTGGGATTAAAAACTCTTCATTGCTCAAGGAACCTAGCAACCTCTAGAAGAACCTTCAGGCTTTCACAGAATCCTGGTTGAGAAACCTTGAATTCGATGGTCAACTTTTAGGCTGTACCAAAAAAAAAGCCAAAATATTGTTGATGTGAATTGCAACACAACCTGAATAACTCCATATTTTAAGCCCTACAGTGCTTCCTATGCTATTTATTTCATTTTTTAGCTATTTTCTTTTGTTTTTCAGATGAAATGAAAGGGGACTATGATTGTATGGGACCTGAAGCCACTCACGTAACCACTATTAATAACGGTACAGGTAATGATTGCTATGTTTTCTCAAATCAATCAATTTTATAAATTGTTCATTTGTTTAACCATATCCTAAACATATCCCCCAAAATGTAAAATAGGGAACACTTTAAGTGTAACGCCAGCCTGCCCAAATCTTGAACCTAATAGAAAGTTCAGAACAAAGTGACACTACACCTGTTCTTCTTAAGCTCCACCCCTTTTGGTGTGTCTCTCACAATTGGTCATAATTATGTAAACTGTTAAAATGGCAAAATAAAAGGGGGTATTTTTTATTTTTATTTATTTTTTTTTTTAATCTGAATTTATTATTTTTTTTACAAAGTTATGTAAAAAAAATATTATGGGCTTTTCCCTAAGAAATATTTAAATGACAGGGAGCCATAAGAAAGACACATGGTTCTGTAAGTGAATGCTGTGCCGTATTTTTCTTACCCTCCAATAAGATTGTTTGTTCAACTAGCAATTACCCAATATTGTCAAGTTAAGAGTCCACTTGTAAGCTGTTAAGAATTGGAATGGGGTCAGAGGTTCTAGGCAACGTTAACAGCTTACTCTCTTTACCATGGGTCATAGAATGCCAGTTCTAGAGGACATCATTGTTGAGCATTAGTTGTGTTTATTTACGTAAGTGTATCCTACTTGACTGTTAGCGAGTAACATTCTGCCCCGAGGGCACGTTTTTTCACCACTGAGTGTAATAATGGATGACATTTCTTTAATCTTACAAAATAAAGTGGATTCCAATCCCCCGTTCAGATTTTGAACTCCACGCTGCCTGCAAATGCACAATTTCCGATTACTGTCATTTTTTTCGTCCCCTACTTTTCATAGATTGATAGCTAAAGAGACAGATGATTTTTCCTGACAACTTTTTGTTCTTTGTTGTTCCACAGTAAAGAACACAAATTGCACTTCGGAGTTTGAAGACTATTTCACCAATAGAAAGATGGATAACAGCGATGGGCACGGTGTTAGCATAGCAGAGTACTTACACCGCAGTGACACGGCCATCATTTACCCAGAAGCCCCAGAGGAGCTGTGCCGCTTGGGAACACCAGAAGCCAACGGACAGGAGGAGAATGGTGAGGCTATGATTCATTTTTAGATACTACAAGGAGGACCCGTTGCAGCTGTTGCAATTATAAATGCACTCTGTGCTGGGGGTGTTTACCTTAAAATTTCAGGAACAGCTGCACGGGCCTGGAATTCCATGAGCCGAACATTCAATAAGCTCATGATGTCCTGTTTGCGAGTTCCTGACATTTTTCACTGCACTCAAAGGACAAGAATTGCTGAACAACCAGGATCCGAGGATGAATTGAACACAACTAGCGTTAAAATTAAAAGCAAGCAAGTGTTCTAGGTAATTCTCAACATAAATTATAGGAGAACAGGAGGCCTCGGCACGGATGGATGTAACAATGAAACGATTCATCCAACTCATTGTTGTTGGGGTAAAAAAAAAATATTCTAGGGACTAAGAGATATTTGCGCCTGCAACATTACAAGGGGGAAGGGTAGCCATGTTGTTTCCAAGAGACATAAAAACACTCACACCACCTCCTTGTAATGGAAATATATTATTAAAGTATATCTAAAGCCAATATTGTTTGCTTTCCATTTTTTACAGAGTAGGTAATTCTTTTTGTTCCTTGCCAAATTGTAGTCTTTGTCCTATTGGGTAGATTTCCCTTTGCTTCCTGGCCTAGAGACATAACAGGAAGTGAGGATAACTCTTGAAGTCCATCTTAGACAGTTGTGATAGATGTCCTCACCTCCTGCTGATCACTTACTGGCCCAGTGATAATGCTGACCAGGACAAATGGTGGTCTTAGCAACACTTTTGTATTGTCACCTGTTAGTATTATCAATTTTAAATCTCTAATAGTCACCTATGGCACCAATTAAAAATGTTACTACTTCAACTAGAGTAAAATTATGAAATTTTCCTTTTGTGGGACACTGAACTTTAAACTCATAATTATTGAAAGGTTCTTGAATGTGGTGTCCGTTTATGACACACAGAATAGCTGAGATTCAGAGGATCACAGCTATTCTCTGGTCATTCACAGTTTATGACACCCAGGAGAATATGTTCAGTACTTCTCTGGAGATCTGTGTTCTCCTTCCAGATTCTCCAGCCCAGAGCTGGAGAATCGGAGGGACCGAAAACTAAGCAGAGATAATTTACCTCTGCTTAGTAAACTGATTCTTTTACTGTAATCTCACGAGATTATAGTAAAATCAGAACCGTTTTCAAGCGTTTTGTAGACCGTTCTCCAGCATTTGTAGACCGTTCTCCCTTCGTTTGGAGAACTGATCTATATATGCTTCATAAACGGCATTCACAGGAGAACTGTGTTCTCCGAGAATGCCGGAGAACTGAGCAGCGATCTATTACCGCTGGTTCATAAACGGACACCTGTATTAGATAAGGAAAGCAGGAGAAATGGGTACACCGGTATCTTCTGCACATTCCTGAGATACAAAATCGTTAGATGTAAGGTCCAAAATTAATTTTCTACAGTATGAAATGATAGGTGCACAGAGGGGGAATCAACAACAGTTTAAAATGACGATACGACATTACAGCAGATTGCGTTGACTCCAAACATACCATCCTGGGCAGGAAGCCCATTAGCTGCCATTGATTCGCTGACCTTTTGCCCCATGTCTCTTTCTCTTCTATCTCCACTCTAGACCTGCCACCTGGAACACCAGATGCTTTTGCCCAGCTGCTAACCTGTCCCTATTGCGACCGGGGCTACAAGCGGTTGACGTCACTGAAGGAGCACATCAAGTACCGCCATGAGAAGAACGAAGAGAACTTCTCTTGCCCTCTTTGCAGTTATACATTCGCCTATCGTACGCAACTTGAGCGGCATATGTTGACGCACAAACCAGGGAGAGATCAGGTGGGGGGGACTGACTTTTAGTGATTCTCTCTTTAATAACCCCTTAGAGAAACTATATTGCTTTGATTGGCAATCATTATTAATTTTTCATGGCATTTTGAAGATGCAGATCTTTTAATGGTAATAGCTTTAATTGAGGTCTAAATGATTTTTTGATGGTCTCTTCTAATATGATTTAATAGTCTTATGTTCACGATCGAATGAGTGTGTTAATTTCTAATTTAGAAATTTTACTTGCACTTTAACTTCACTTTGGTTTAACGTTTTTAATGCTGCTCGAAAGGTGAAGGAAACATTGGTATTTTAATTAACGAGTTCTAAAAGAAATTACTGTCACATCGATTTTTTTTCTTTTTTTCTTTTTTTTTTTGGCGTCGTTATAGCACAACGCTATAAAACTGGCCTCATTTTAAAATGGATATCATATTTTTAGATTAAAAATTGCTGAAAAAATTGTTAATGGGCCTTAAATTTTATCACTTAAAATATTAAGTGACTGTGCCAATGCAGCTGTGATTCACATAGATTCACTTGTGTCATCACTGCAAAGAGAGAATAATGGGATTTTTTTTCTCTTAATGATATTTTGCACCTTTTTAGCAGAATTCTAAAATAAATCATATGCCTTATTTAAAGTGTATGTAAACTCTAACAATTGATTTTCTTAGTTGTTCCGTTCTGGTTTGTAAAATTGAAAGCGTTTTGTTGTATCTGTTGGAAAGGTGCAAAAATTGCCTGTTGATCCTGCCTACTTACCTCTGTTAAACTACAGTACATCTCCTCCCTACTTTACTGAGATGATGATGGGGAGAGGTTTTGTAATCCTGTATAAAGGTGACAATGCTGCTTAATAGATACAAATCAGTAACTGTTGTCACTCTAAGACAGGATGTGTGTTACTGGAAGGATCACCAGGTGGAAATAAAGGGAATAAAAAGCCTGAAAAAAAGAAAAACTAATGCAGCCGCCACATCTGAGGACTGTGTGAGCTGCAATACAATACAGTATGTTTTTGTTTTTGGGTTTAGATACATTTTAAGTGCAATCTCTTAGACTCTGGTTTGGTAATAATTCCCACTCTAGTTGCAGTTCTTATCTATAGCAAGCAGCTTTCCCCCTGTAGCTGGACACTTTTATGGGCATATTATTAGCACAGGAATAATATACTTCAATGTGGAGGAGAACAGAAGCAACAAGTAGGGACTATTCAGGAGTAAGACCATAATCAAAGCCAGGAAGGAAGACACCAAATGGTGTATCAAAACATGATCTAAGGGCTAAACCAAGACAAGGCAGGTTCAAGACAGACAGAGAGGGTTCGAGGTCAAGTAAGCCTGGGTTAGAAACAGCAAAGCAGTCCACAAGCACACCCTAGAGGCAAAAAGTAAATTCTACCATGAGCATTGACAAAAAGAGACTTGATTTTTATATGGACAAGAGTCAATCACTAGCCTTACAATTCGCTGCAATAATTACCGTATGTATGAAGCAACCTTAGGAGATTATTATTTATTTATTTCAGGTACTTATATAGCGCCGTCAATTTACACAGCACTTTACATATATATTGTACATTCACATCAGTCCCTAACCCTCAAGGGGTGTACAATCTAAGGTCCCTAACTTACATTCATACATACACATACTAGGGCCAATTTAGACAGGATCCAATTAACCTACCAGCTTGTCTTTGGAGTGTGGGAGGAAACCGGAGTACCCAGAGGAAGCCCACGCAGGCACAGGGAGAACATGCAAACTCCAGGCAGGTGGTGCTGTGGCTGGGATTTGAACCAACGACCCTAGTACTGCCAGGCGGAAGTGCTAACCATTTAGCCACTGTGCTGCCTGATTACGGTATGTACTAAAACTGGAGAGTGCAATCTCTGGTGCAACTCTGCATAGAAACCAATCAGCTTCCAGGTTTTTTTGCCAAAGCTTAATTGAACAAGCTGAAGTTAGAAGCTGATTGGTTTCCATGCACAGCTACACCAGATTCTGAGTGAACCAGCTTTAGTAAATACACCCCTAAACCCTGGTTCACACTGAATGCAGCTTTGAAATCACACAACTTCATTTGAAGTCGCGCAATTTCAAAGCTGCTGGTTTGTGCAATTTCATGTGCGGCTTGCCTGACATCTGTGCGACTTTATGGACAGATGTCTATACAAGTCGCACATGAAATCGCCAAAAAATAGTGCAGGAACCTGTTTTCAAAATCGGTGCCACAACGCAAAGTCGGAGTTGAACTGATTTGAGCAGTTCCATAGGCACAATAGGGAGCGACTTGTCATGCGATTTCGAACTGTCAAATTTATTTATTTTTGGGTACTTATATAGCGCTGTCAAGTTACGCAGCGCTTTACATATATATTGTACATTCACATCAGTCCCTAATCCTCAAGGGGCATACAATCGAAGGTCCCTAATTCACATTCATACATACACATACTAGGGACAATTTAGACAGGAGCCAATTAACCTACCAGCATGTCTTTGGAGTGAGGAAACCGGAGTACCTGGAGGAAACCCACGCAGGCACAGGGAGAACAAATTGCATGACAACTCGCATTTGGGGGAGGCTTAATGTGAGCTTGAATGTGCACTGTTTGGCAGACATGCCCACATTCCTGGTCAAACTGTAAATGTCTCCTGCATATACATGAGCTAGCATATGAGGGCCACTGTGAGCAGAAGACCTGACTATTACAAAGAGCAGCAGTAACTTCTAGTAGCCAATTGGACAACAGCTTTCAAAAGCATTGAAGAAATCAGATATTGCCTTTCCTTTTGTAAAAGGAAGAGCAATAGCATTATCTACTCACAGTAGCCAACAGACCACAGCTTAGGAACCAAATGGATGCTGGCTTTTGTAGACCATCATAGAGAAATGACAGCTGGAATCTCATTGGAACAAAGAACTCGTCCTTTTCCATCACCGTTAAAAATATTATTACGTCAAATATAAAAATTGTATTTATAAAAAAAAAATATCTGGGCAGCACAGTGGCTAAATGGTTAGCACTTCCACATGGCAGTACTAGGGTCGTGGTTTTGAATCCCAACCACAGCACCACCTGTCTGGAGTTTGCATGTTCTCTCTGTGCCTGCATGGGTTTCCTCCCAAACTCAGAAGACATGCTGGTAGGTGAATTGGCTCCTGTCTAAATTGGCCCTAGTATGTGTACATATGAATGTGAGTTAGGGACTGTACGCCGCTTGAGGGTTAGCGACTGATGTGAATATACAATGGCGGACTGACCATTTGGAAACTCAGGCACTGCCAGAGGGCCCTGGGTCAGTAGGGGGCCCTATGAGATGCCCCTGGTACCTTTTTCATAGGCTTTTTTGAGTTTGGGCAAGGACACAGGGGCCCCATGATCCCCTATTGCCCGGGGGCCCCATGAGTTGTCAGTCCGCCCCTGATAATATATATGTATTGGCAGTGCAGTGGCTAAATGGTTAGCACCTCCACCTGCCAGTACTAGGGTCATTGGCTCAAATCCCAGCCACGACACCACCTGCCTGGAATTTGCATGCTCTCCCTGTGCCTGCATGGGTTTCCTCCAGGTACTCCAGTTTCCTCCCACACTCCAAAGACATGCTGGTAGGTTATTTATTTCAGGTACTTATATAGCGCCGTCAATTTACACAGCACTTTACATATATATTGTACATTCACATCAGTCCCTAACCCTCAAGGGGCGTACAATCTAAGGTCCCTAACTCACACTCATACATACACATATTAGGGCCAATTTAGACAGGAGCCAATTCACCTACCAGTATGTCTTTGGAGTGTGCAAGGAAACTGGAGTACCCGGAAGAAACCTGCACAGGCACAGAGAGAACATGCAAACACCAGGCAGGTGGTGCTATGGTTGGGATTTGAACCGACAACCCTAGTACTGCCAGGCGGAAGTGCTAACTATTTAGCCACTTGGCTCCTGTCTAAATTGTCCCTAGTATGTGTATGTATGAATGTGAGTTATTATTATTATTATACAGTATTATAAAGCGCCAATAGTTCGCTCAGCGCTGTACATTACAGAGGGGGACAGAACAAGTGACAGAACAATACCAATACAATGCAAAACATGAGGGGATTGAGGGCCCTGCTTTTTGGAGCTTACAATCTTGGAGGGAGGGGATGGTGGCACAGGAGGAGATAGCTGTGGGGGATGGAGTGGTAGGAGGAGTGGAGGAGGTCGGCAAGTTAGCAGGGGGTGGGGTAGGCTTCCCTGAAGAGATGGGTTTTCAGGGTGCGCCTAAAGGAGAGGAGGGTAGGTGATAATCTGATGGGTTGGGGCAGGGAGTTCCAGAGGATGGGTGACACCCTGGAGAAGTCCTGGAGGTGGCCATGGGAGGAGGAGACCAGGGAACTAGAGAGAAGGAGGTCTTGTGAGGAGCGGAGTGTGCGTGCTGGGCGGTACTTGGATATTAGGTCAGTGATGTAGTTCGGGGCAGTGTGGTGGACAGCTTTGTACGTCAGCGTTAGGATTTTGAATTTGAATTTGAGTTAGGGACTTTAGATTGTACGCCCCTTGAGGATTAGGGACTGATGTGACTGTACAATATATATGTAAAGCACTATGTACATTGACAGCGCTATATAAGTACCTGTAAAAATAATAATGTAAAATTGACAGCGCTATATAAATACCTGTAATAAATAAATAAATAAATATCTCTACAGAAATCAGGTTACATTTACGTTCAGTATTTATACAAATTTTATTCTGTCCTGTCATAAAAAATACATTTAGCCCATAAGACATACATTTTCAGCTAACCAAAAAAAAAAAAAAGATGCCAAAAAGCACGCGAAAATGTCTAGCAGCGCCGCGGCTGAGCCTTGAACATGTACACGTCGATGCACTTGCTTGTGTTGGCGCGTTCCGACTACAAGCTTTGGTGTTGAAAAGTCCCCTCATTTGCTCGTGGCATTTACAATTAGTAAATTAAAATGATTGTATCATATTAACAGTGGCACAACTAAAGTTTATAGTGGTCCTCGGAGGGCTGTGGGGGGAGTCCGAGCAGCTGTTGCTGTTTGTTTATGCAACTCAGCAACATATGAGCCCTGGTCCCTCAGTGGAGATCGACGGGTTGGGCTAAGGCTTGATCTTTGAAGGTTGCTAGTGTTTGAACAAACCTCCCTGTATCCTGTGTACACCATCTGTCTCACCAGGAATGTGGGAAGGCTCAGTACACCCCAGCAGTTGTCATGCCGCTTCTGTGCTCACTGTCTTTTTGTGTGTGTAAAAGCTTTTGTGTCCTACTGCTTGAAACTGGCTGACATACCTTGAGCATCGCCACACTGCTATTTCCACATCCTCTGTTGGAACTGACATGTTTCTTTACACTTTAAACCTCACCTTCTGTAACAAACATATACCTGACTTTTCACACAACGGTCAGATATTTTATCAGCAGGGAACAGCAAATTGACCTTCTGATAAATAATCAAAGAGCGGTCTTGCTTGTTGCCTCTAGGTCAAGTTTCTTTTTTTTTTTGTCCTTTATTTTGGCCAGGAAAAGATGTTCTTCTTTTCTAGCCAACCATTTTTTCTACCTGATTTGACAATAAAGTGCAAAAAAAAAAAAAAAAAAAAAACCCTAAAAGAATTTTGTGGTTAACACACAAAAAAAAAGTCAGTCCATATTGTTTCTGTAGATCAAATATGACCAGTACATTGAATATTTTTTAAATATTTTGTGTATTGTGGAGAAAATATGTAAGGTACTCTTCTTTCTTTCTTGAATGGTTTTAACTACCTGTAAAAAAATTGTTCAAATTAAGCTTTTTTTTTTTAAAAAAAAAAATCTTTTTTGTGTTTACGTAAGAATGATGAATTGCCTCTAGGTCAAGTTTTTTTTTTGTCCTTTATTTTGGCCAGCAAAAGATGTTCTTCTTTTCTAGCCAACCATTTTTTACAATAAAGCGCAAAAAAAAAAAAAAAAAACATCAAAAGAATTTTGTGGTTAACACACAAAATAAATGTCAGTCCATATTGTTTCTGTAGATCAAATATGACCAGTACATTGAATATTTTTTAAATATTTTGTGTATTGTGGAGAAAATATGTAAGGTACTCTTCTTTCTTTCTTGAATGGTTTTAACTACCGTAAAAAAATAGTTCAAATTAAGCTTTTTTTTTAAAAAAAAAAAATCTTTTTTGTGTTTACGTAAGAATGATGAATTGCCTCTAGGTCAAGTTTTTTTTTTTTTTTTGTCCTTTATTTTGGCCAGTAAAAGATGTTCTTCTTTTCTAGCCAACCATTTTTTCTGCCTGATTTTACAATAAAGCAAAAAAAAAAAACCCTAAAAGAATTTTGTGGTTAACACACAAAAAAAATGTCAGTCCATATTGTTTCTGTAGATCAAATATGACCAGTAGATTGAATATTTTTTAAATATTTTGTGTATTGTGGAGAAAATATGTAAGGTACTCTTCTTTCTTTCTTGAATGGTTTTAACTACTGTAAAAAAATTGTTCAAATTAAGCTTTTTTTAAAAAAAAATAAATATTTTTTTTGTTTACGTAAGAATGACGAATACATTTTTATTTGTTGGTGTTTAACATGTGTTCTATATAATGTGCATTGTATCAAATCACATGGTTTATCAAACTAGTGTTCAAAATAATCTTGTTTCCTTTTTTTTAATATCTTTGTTACACAGCATCAAATGTTGACCCAGGGAGCTAGCAATCGCAAGTTTAAATGCACAGAGTGTGGCAAAGCCTTCAAATATAAGCACCATTTAAAGGAACACCTTCGGATACACAGCGGTGAGTAACAACTGTTGCAGGTGTTATCTGGGTTTGATATATTTGATAGGATGTGGACAATGTTAATTTTAATATTTATTCAAGTAAGTACTTATAGAGGGAGATTTGCCAAAACTGGAGCAAACAGAATCGGGTGCAGCTTTGGTTAGTAACCAATCAGTTTCCAAGTTTTATTGTCAGCGATAAATTGAACAAACTGAAATTAGAAGGTGATTGGTTACTATGCACAGCTGCACCAGATTTTGTGTGCTCCAGTTTTAGCAAATCTCCCCCATAATTTTCTAAATCTTTAGTTGCAGACAGGGGCGGACTGACCATTTGGAAACTCGGGCACTGCCCGAGGGCCCGGGGTCAGTAGCGGGCCCCATGAGATGCCCCTGGTACCTTTTTTCATATGTTTTTTTGAGTTTGGGCAAGGACACAGGGGCCCCATGATCCCCTATTGCCCGGGGGGCCCCATGAGTTGTCAATCCGCCCTTGGTTGCAGATGACTGTTAACCTGTAATTAACTAGTGTAAGTTAGGAACGTATTATTGGATGTTCCTTATTTAAAGTGTAGCAAACAGCAAGGAGCATATTTATAAAGCAGTGAATGTGACATTCACCAGACATTCAGCCTGGGTTCAAACTGATGCGGTGCAGAAATTTGCAGCGTTTTCTGTGCGAATTCTGCACTACATCACAATTGCACCCGTTCATGCGAACCGCTGCTGGAGTGTATGTTAAGTTAACAACACCCCAAAATCGGTCCGCAAAACGCGATGCGATGTGCAGAATTGGATCGCATAGATGTGAACACTCATACAATCCGATTCTAGTGCGGACCAAAAAAAGGGTCTTGCACCTTTTTGGTGCGGATGCGGTGTGATTGGAGCCATACAAAATGTATGGCTCCAATCGCACAGCACACAATTCGCTTTTGATTTGCACAGGAATGCGGTGCGGTTCCTGAGCATATCTCATGTGATATACCGCACAGCATATATGTGAACCCAGACTCACAGGTGGTTCATCATTCCTGGCAATTTTTGTAATTTCAAACAGGTACACCTGGAAGAGTTACAAAGAAACACAGTGCCTCTAAGTGTGTACTGTGAAGATATTAAATACCTTCACAGTACACACTTAGAGGTGTTTCTTTGTTTCCCTTCTTCAGAGTTATGTTTTGCTCCTACGCAGCTTGCCCTTAGTGCCTACTGGGCTACCCTTACCCCTGCCCATTTGGAACTCATCAAACATACATGGACTGCCACACCATGCGCTTGTTATCCCTTTTGTATTGACACCTGGAAGAGTTACCTACAGTGAATTTGGTAAATGTCACAATCACCACTTTTTAGATATGTTTCCAAACATAAATAATTGCTGCAGGAGGTTTTACATAGGAAATGTTTTAATCATCCATAAACACTCTAATAAGGATAAAAAGACTGGGAGTGATTGTGAATATATTAAATTAATGTAATGTGTTTTAAGAATACCAATGATCGAATAGATTATCTATTGAAACAACTCTATTCAAAGAAAATTGAAGCTTCCTGCAACAAAATACTCCTAATACTTAACTCTCCGGAGGTCCTAGGTTTGCTCTCCTGAAAAGCCATGGCCTTCTAGGGGTGGCAGATACTTATGAGCCCCACTGTGCACTATGGTTTCATCTGCCAACCCCAAATGTAACTACAGGAAACAGACGTTACATAGGGCCAACAGATGGAACCAAAGTTCCAGAACTGTGGGAAAAACTGAAGGTACTTTGGTGACTGTAACTCTTAAACAGAGTGAAGATCAGACATTGTATCTGCTAAGAGAAGTAATTATTAAGATTTTTCTTTTACAGGGAGCTTCTTTTTCATAGATTTTCATAATGACAGAGTTATGTTAAGCAGAAAGCTAGTTATTGCTAGGGTTTAGCCCTTTGGGAGTGACTCATTCTCTTTTTCATTTCATCCCCACAGGAGAGAAGCCATATGAATGCCCAAATTGCAAGAAACGCTTCTCCCATTCGGGTTCCTACAGTTCACACATTAGCAGCAAGAAATGCATTGGCCTGATCTCTGTGAATGGGAGAATGAGAAACAACATGAAGGCAGGTTCATCTCCAAATTCTGTGTCGTCATCTCCCACCAATTCAGCCATAACTCAGCTCCGGCACAAACTGGAGAATGGGAAACCACTTGGCTTGACGGAACCTTCGGGCCTACTTAAGATCAAAACAGAATCACTAGATTACAATGACTATAAACTTCTTTTGGCAGCCTCACACGGGTTTAATGGTCCTAATCCATTCATGAATGGTGGTCTTGGAGCCACCAGTCCCTTGGGAATTCACTCCTCAGCTCAGAGTCCAATGCACCACTTAGGTGTAGGGATAGAGGCGTCATTACTTGGGTACCCAAACTTAAGCAGTAATTTGAGCGAGGTGCAAAAGGTCCTGGAAATTGTGGACAACACAGTTTCAAGGCAGAAGATGGAATGCAAGTCTGAAGAGATTGCAAAGTTGAAGGGGTACCACATGAAGGAAACTGGACCTCAAAGAGAGGAACAAGGTGTGACGTCTCCTGGCGTCCCACCAGTGGGTCTTCCAGTTGTAAGTCATAATGGTGCCACTAAAAGTATTATTGACTATACGTTAGAGAAGGTAAATGAAGCCAAAGCCTGTTTACAGAGCTTGACTACGGATTCAAGAAGACAGTTTAGCAATATTAAGAAAGAAAAGTTACGTACCTTGATAGACCTCGTAAGTGAAGAGAAGATGCTAGAGAGCCATAATATAGCCACTCCATTTTCTTGCCAGTTTTGTAAAGAAAGTTTTAACGGTCCCATTCCTTTGCACCAACACGAAAGATACTTGTGTAAAATGAACGAAGAAATTAAGGCAGTCCTCCAACCCAGTGAAAACCTTATTCTCAATAAACAGGGCATGTTGGCTGAGAAACAAGCACTACTGCTGTCATCAGTACTTTCCGAGAAAGAAATGATTAGCCCTATCAACCCTTACAAGGACCACATGTCTGTACTTAAAGCGTATTACGCTATGAATATGGAACCTAACTCAGATGAACTACTGAAAATTTCCATAGCTGTTGGCCTTCCTCAGGAATTTGTGAAGGAATGGTTTGAGCAAAGAAAAGTCTATCCATATGCAATTTCCAGGTCACCATCTTTGGAAAGGACCAGTGGGGAGGTGGTACAAATAACCACCACTCCCACGAAAGACTCTGCATCAGCTAGGTCTCCAGTAAAACCTGTGGATTCTATCACTTCGCCATCTATAGCAGAACTTCATAACCGGGTATCAAATTGTGATACGCCTCTCAGGCTAACAAAATCTAGTCATTTTACTGGTCTGAAGCCAGTTATTGATAAATTGGACCACTCCAGGAGCAATACTCCATCTCCTTTAAATCTTTCTTCCACATCTTCTAAAAACTCCCACAGTAGTTCTTACACTCCAAACAGTTTTTCCTCGGAAGAGCTTCAAGCTGAGCCTTTGGACTTATCTGTACCGAGACAAATGAAGGAAATTAAAAGTATTATAGCCACAAAGAACAAAACCAAACCTAATAATGTCACTATTGACCACAACAATATTCATTTGCCCTCTGAGACTGTAGACGAGCCACTGAATTTAACGTACATTAAGAAGGAATTTTGCAATTCCAATAATCTGGACAAAAGCACTAACCCGCTATTTGGCTTGAATCCATTTAGTGGCAAACCTTTGTATACCACGCTTCCACCACAGAGCGCTTTTCCACCAGCCACTTTTATGCCTCCAGTTCAGGCGAGTATCCCAGGACTTCGACCATATCCGGGACTTGATCAGATGAGCTTCCTACCACATATGGCCTATACTTACCCAACTGGGGCAGCTACTTTTGCAGATATGCAGCAGAGGAGGAAGTACCAGCGGAAACAGGGATTTCAGGTAATGAACAGTAAATACGTTAGCTTTATTTTTTGGGACACCTAAGTGTCAATGTAACATTTTTATTGACAAAAGCCCACTACTGGTCACAGTCTACTGTTGGTCTGGGATCTCAAGTGTCATTGTGCTTTTGTTCTGTATCACAAGTCAAAGAACTTCATGTATAATAAAAACTGAAATAAAAACTTTCTATGACACCTATAGCAACTAATCAGATTTGTGTCTCATTTTCTGAAAAAATGTGTTTGGTATGAGGACACAATTCAACTGCCAGACACTTTTATTCATATTGCCCAGATTGTCATTGTTCTGGAAGTCATGCAGTGTGTGCTATTATTCATTTTTATTCCAACTGTTTACTATACATCTACAAATGTTAGTGTGAACACCTACAGTCCATGTGTCAATAATGTGTCCAGTGTGGTATTATTAAGGTACCTCAAAAGTGGAGTTCCATATTAGTGTGCATTGAACAAGAGCTTAGTAGGTGCATCCTTCCAGTTTATTAAAATGGCATCAACAAAGTTAAGTACAAGGTACTCATATTTTGTGTACATTTCCTTCTTTAGTCTTGTATGATAAATGGTTGCTCACCTACCACCAACCCCCATCCCTTACAATGAAGCAAGAATGTTGGTAATCCTATTTCGGATGCTTGAAATAGGTTTATGTAAAGTACATTTTTTTAGGTGGCTCTCATTTTCTTAATGCTAGGGATTTTCAGTAGAGTTATCTTTTTTTGGGTTATTCTCTTGTATGTTTGTAAAGAACAGTTGGTTGTAGGTTGTGGTAGAACAGTGTGAAAGCATATAAGCCGGCTGTGACTCTTGAGATTTGTTCATCAGCTAGATGAACAGAGCTCATACTGTAATCTACTGTTCTTTAACCCCTCAAAATTCTCAAGAACCCCAGCAGATCATATATTTCCACAATGTTGTTCAAGTGATAGAGTCTGGGACTTGTTCTAAAAATCGAAATCGTTTGGCATGAATGAGTTGGAAAACACTGTTGTAACCATGATACTAAAATGCTGATGGAACGTTGGTTTCGAAGCTAAGAGAAATAGATTCTGCTTACTGTATTCTCTTAACAGTTACCAATTAAACCATTGTAGCATCAATAAAGCTCCATTGTAAGTTCATACCGGTAGTTTATGTACTTCTGATCATAGAGAAAGATTGTACAGTGTTTGGATTATTAACAAATGGCAGTCACTAGTCTTCAGTCAGACCTAAGCTGGCACAATTCTGGTAGTAAGCTAGGCAATAATTTACTGAAAAATAAAGTATATCATAAAAAAAAGATCAACCAGTTTAAAGTGTATCTATACTCAGTTTTCTATTTGAAGAGAATTAGGAAAAGTTAGAACTCCTGTCAGGTTTTCCTGCTACTTGTTACTGAGATTCTTATCTCACTTTCTGTTCTGGGGACAATCTTTTACCAGACAGGAAGTGAGATAAGATCTACAACAGACAAAGGTTATAGCATTCCATTACTCTATATAAAACATATTGTTTACTTCTGTGTTACTGTTGATGAGAGATTTCCTCTCACTTCCTGTCCTAGAGACAACCTTTTTTTTACCAGACAGGAAGTGAAGAAATCTCTCTAACAGAGCCTCAGACAGCAACAATACCTGACAAAAAGTCTAAACATTCCCCAGTCTGTCCAAAACTAACTAAAAAGTGTTGGTGTTATGTTTTAATTTGTTAAGGTGTCTGAAATAAGATCCTTAGGGGTATATTTACTAAAACTGGTGCACTCAGTATCTGGTGCAGCTATGCATGGCAGGCAATCAACTTTTAACTTCAAATTGTTCAATTAAGCTTTGACAATTAAACCTGGAAGCTGATTGGTTTCTATGCAGAGCTGCACCAGATTTTGCATGCTCCAGTTTTAGTAAATAACCCCCTTTGGATTAAAAGTTTAAATTCCATTAGACTATGTTGAACAACACATATACTACATATATGAAATTTATATTTTCAACATTAACATCTTCTCAAGTATATTCCACTATGCAGAGCATCAAAAAGTATCTCTAAACTCTGAAGAGTTTTAATCACACAGCAGCATGAGATTAACTCCTTGTTAACAAATACCTAATCTGCATATCACTGGAAACTATTGCAAAAGAGGAAATAGCCAGCTAGTGAATAGTCTCATGCTATTAAGATTCAAACATTCTCACTGTTGCTCAGCCCTAAGCTTAGTTTCACTAAAATCTATAACATATGAAATATTAAAGTAAAAAAAAAATCTCTGAAAGTTTTATGGTGACTTGTTCTAGATCTTAAATTAAACTGATGTCCGAAAACGCTACGCAAGCCAGCGTAATCTGGTCTCAATTAATTATCGGTAAACCACCAAGCCCGTACAACACGAAGGCAGGAGACAGCTCTTTGTAGTCAGGACCAAAATAAATCTAAATACACTGAATGATTTAGAATCCACTTTCATCATTGTCTAACGCTGAAGGCATGTGGACGCAAAGCATTGATAAAATATTCCCCATTTTAAATTACAAAATTAAATAGCATGCTTAGGGCCTTTTGTCAGCAGACATAAACTTAAATGGATTGTATAATAACATCTTGCATCTGATCATAAAATTCAATTATACAGTATTATTTTTTTTTTCCCGTAAAAAAAGCAGAAAAAAATGGAAACAAATTCCCTCCTTCAAAAATAGTGTTTATTGTCTGATAAAAATTAATACACTTGAATTTGAATAAAACAATATTTTTAATGAGGACACAGAGATTTTTATTAGTTTTATCACCGCGTCGATGCTTAATAAGGCACTGACGTTAATTTGTTATATTACAGGGTGAAATGCTTGACGGGGTTCCCGATTACATGTCAGGCCTGGATGATATGACGGATTCTGACTCCTGCCTGAGTCGGAAAAAAAATTAAGAAGACGGAAAGTGGCATGTATGCCTGCGATTTATGTGACAAGACATTCCAGAAAAGTAGCTCCCTCCTGAGACACAAATATGAACATACAGGTAAATGGATACACTTTTTAGCTGTTCTATCACACATCATACCATACGTCTGTTCACCTTACACCACAAGTGCCCATGAGCTGTCCAGTTTGGATATCTTGATCTGAGTTAGTGGAGTTGATTTACTAAAGGAGTAGAGAATATTCCCTTGGTTGAAAGAGTCTGTTGATGATGAAATGATTACCTGTAGGTATGCAAGGGAAATTAAGAAAAAGGAAACAGGATTTCTTATTGAATTTGACTGCAGTGAACATGTCTTTACCTTGTTTCCTAAGCTCACTTTGAAAAGTGAACACCTTTAGTAAATCTACTCTATTGTGTAAACCTGCACAAACAACAGGTTAGGCCATGATAATTGTATGAAAGTTGGATTGTTAGAGTATTTCTGTTTGCCCATGGCCAGATTAGGACAATCAAAAGTGTGCTGGCCATTGACATTCTCAAGTTTTTGTCCAACAAGATACATCCAGGTTGAACAATTTCCATCTCGTGAGATAGGGCAAAGCATCAGGTCTGAATACCTTGTCTAAATGTTTTTGTGTCTCCTGAAATAAGCCAACACCAGGAGCTGTCTGCCTTCTTTTGCATTCTGATCACAATCAACATGCACAATAAGTTGACTTGAAGGTGCATGATGATGCACATAGCAGTGACCACGGTTATCTACCATTTGTCATGTTTCTGCACGTCTGCACATCTTTCTTGATACTCTTGTAGTATCAATGGCCATCTTAACAATGTTCAATGAACTAGCTAGGATTTTCCTATTCTATTTATCTTTGTGACTTATGACACAAATGGCCAATGATATCTATGGGTATATCTTTCTAAATAAAAGTCACCTGACCATCTAATAGACAGTTATCAAACTATCCTATCACTCTCACCACAAGGTAAAGCAATAGAGCAACATTTTAAAATAGTATTCATTATCCGCTAGTTATTTGTCATGTTATGGCATATCTGAAAGGCTTCTGCTCACCACCTTGAACGTCACTGAAGTTACTGAAAGAATAATTATTTATATTGTCCAAGAACAACCAATTATTATCAAATCTAAAGCAGAAAATACCAGTTGAGGAATTAAAAGTTGAATCTTGTTGGTTGGTACGGGGTAGGGATGAGCTAAGGTTTGGGTTGAACTCATATTTGGTCAATGACCATTTGTCCATATTAGGTCAATGATGTGACCAGCATCCCAGCCTTTTTGTCATGTGCGGCTGCATGATGGGCAACTATACAGCCCTCAGCTGATTGGGATTGGCAGCCTGCTGTCATGTGGTTGTTCCCCACAAACCCTAGCTCATCCTTAGTGTGGGGCAATACAGACCCACTCACCACTTATCCTGGACACCTTCATAAATGAAGCCTGTTGTCTGTGAACAGTGCAGTGGATAACTATACAAAAGCTACCTGAATAACTATAATGATTGTCATGTGACACAATGATCATTTTTGTTGTTTTTGTTTTCAGCCAATGAGTTCTGAAAATAACAGTCAAATGGATAAAAATGAACATTGTTATGTCAGATAACACATGTGCTAAAACTCAGTGATGTGAATCCTTTTATCTGAGACTGGCCAACTGAGCACAGCGTATACGTCAACAGCTTGTAGAGTCATAATGGAACAAGATGGGAAACAGATTTTACTATTTTACTATTACTATTTTCCAAACTGATGATCTCACTTCATTGCTTTATAATTCTAAATCTGTCAGAATTTTGAACCCCTGAAATAAAACTAAAAGTCCCATTTAACATATCTAACTATATAGCACCAATTGATCACATCATCATAACAATCTATTGTACTACTTATGGCAGGTCCTTGTTTAAAACTGCTACATGATTAATGGTTAGTGACCTTAAGAGGTTCTGCAGCAGCTGCAGATATTGTTGCACAATACCTCTTTTTTGCTCCCGGTATCCGATCCTCCCCTACAATTAAAATGAAAAGAGCCCCCCACTGCCACCCCTGCCAGGCCTGTCCCCAATGTTTGCATTCCTCACCGCTGTCACTCTCATTCTGGTGCTGACGCAGCAGGTGTATATAGCCTTGAGTAACACACCAGCCACGGCTGGTATTTGCATTCTTTTTGCTCACTTTGAGGCCGATTCATGGAAATTCAAACCATTTAAAAGTCATGATGCGCTCGACTCATTCAATTTGAGGCAGTTATCAGTTTAGCTCTTTAAAGCACATCTTAAAAGTAGTGAAAATTTATTTCATTCAAGTGCACATTCCTTTATTTGAGGAAGGTTTTTTTTTTTACTCTCCATTAGGCCATTCAAATATATATTATTAGTGGAGATGGTCAACTGTAAGTATAGAATTTTTCATCAGGCTCCTATCAGAGCAGCCCCTGACACCAACAACTATTACTTCTGTATTTAATGTGGATCTGTGCTTTGCCCCCGCTGAACAAAGCAACTGATTTACCTAAATACCAACACCCTTATTTCCGTTATGAGCGCAATACACCTTAAGTCTTCAAGCACAATGCCTAATGCTAAGAGAACATTAACATTGCAGGCAGAGCTAGGAATATGCACCCATGCATATTCCTAGTTCTCAGATTCTACTGTCAAACTGTCACATTAGTCATAAGAATAACTGACACTCTAAATGTAATTTGAGCATCAGAGTTTCAAAGACCTCTGGACCACTTTGCTCCCTCACCACCCCGTTCTCACCAGTACAAGAGAAGAATCCCTGGGTAAGCTTCAGGTCAATCTGACTGGAGCTTACAATGCGCAAGGACTTCCGAGGAAGTCGAGTATATAAAATTAATACATTTGAATTTGAATAAAACAATATTTTTAATGAGGACACAGAGATTTTTATTATACTTTTAGCATAGTTGGTCTGGTGTGTATTCATGTGCTTCTTTGTGTGCCCACAACACTTTTCTAACGGGTCTGTGCAACACCTAATTTAAAGCTCCTTCAAATTTTTTAATATTGCATACATGATTTTGGTGAAACTAAGCATAGAGCTTCCTTAACACTTCTGAACTGGGTTTAACTTGCTGCACCGAAGCAGCATCTGGTCCTATCTATATGCATTGAAGCGCTGTTGGAATCCTTTGCTTGCACAGCAAGTATCCATTCATAGCCTAAACCCTAAACACATTCAGTAGAGTCAGCAGCAACCATTCAATATGCTTTGAATGAATCTGTCAGGGAACCTTAAGAAGCCCCCATATACTCAAGCTGTAAATCTGGCTGTAGCTGCACATTTGTGAGCAACGGTAATAGCTGCATGCTTTTCCTATTGAGAGGAAAGTACACAAATACATCCCCATTGACTGTTACGCTGCAAGCTCCAGCTGGACAGAGCAATGCAGTAGTAGGCCTGTGTGTCTTTTGGTTGCATCATGTGTTTCAGTCTTGTGTCCTGGCATCAGACTGTCAAGCATTCAGTGTCAGGTCTATTTTTGAATGACACGTCAAGCATGGCCACTATGGAAGGTGTGAAAGGCATTCCTGGGCTATTTGGAGCCTGGAATCAGCCAGATGTGTTTGGGCTTGGCCTTATTCTCATGTTCCAGTCTTGGACTGAAGAACGTACAAGCCACTGTAGAAAACACTGAGTTTCACAGGCACTCAGCTGCTAATGGATTCATGCTGCCATGTTAAGGAACTTCATTAGCTTGAATATAAGCAACAATGCTCCTATATTCAACAACAGCATTGATAAAATATAATCTGCACTGCTGCTGAGTTGACCTGAGATTATGAGGTTAGGCTCAAGTTTTAAAGATTTGTTGGTAGAAACATTACATACTACCTACTCTTTCTGAATTTTGTTAGAATAATTTCTATTGATATACTTGAACAGTATTTAAGGAGTAGCCTTTTATAGTCATTTTGTTAAAGCATGGAAGGACAATGAGCATTCTGTTACTGATTTTGGTTCATTAAGCCATTATAAGCGGAAGTCTACATTGGGTCCAATTAAAAGGATATTCACGTTTTACTCTTTGCTTTTAGAGTATGTTTGCTATAAACATGATATGCTATTGGGGCTGAGTTGCTCATGTAAAGAATGTTGAGTAGGGAATGTATGTTGAGTTTACTGGTGTAGAGAATGTTCATGTAGTTAGCGAATATGTTGACGCTAAGGAAATGCTTTACTCTATGACTACTATGACTAAGAACAATAATCATACTGAAAATCGTATCTGATGTTCCGTTTACAAGCAGACTAGGCAAAACAAGATGGACATCCCTAAACAACCTTCTTCCCCCTCCCCCTTTATTTTGGGGGTGTCTCTCATGAATTTCCATCAAATACAACTTTGAGGTGGTGTGTGCTGACTTGGAGGTCTATACACTTTATGTGACCTGGGATGCCCTTGTGATTCGAGGCCTCTTGTGGGGGGTTCTGCTGTCCCGGGCCGGTCAGCCCCCAGCTTTATGAGGCAACATTTCTGAAGCATTTATGTTTTTTTAACCAATTTTGCATTTTCATATACTATGATGTCACCCATATGCAGAGTTCTTCTTTTTTCCCTGAGGAAGGAGTGGAATCACTCTGAAACGCGTTGGAACAATTAGATTAGTATCTCTGCAGCTTTGTTACATCTATGATGATATCAATTTGTATCTTTTACTACCAGTCAAACACAGTCATACTGGGTATCCTTATCATGTAATTTCATTTTCTGATTGTGATGCTTTATTATGACTGTTTGATGTATTGTTTTGTATGTCTTTGTGTTATCACCTTTTTGACAATAAAATGTATACTTTTTTAATATTTCCAGTACTTTCTAAGCCCTTAAAGTCCCAGTGTCAGGGGGTCTCTCCTTTTTCCAATTGTTGTCTTGGGGATGTTGACTTATAATCAGGAATTTTTCCCTTCTTTCCTCGACATCCCTAAACAATGTCCATATTTTTGGGGTTTTTTTTTTGTAAAAATGCCATCATGGAACAGAATGTAACATCTTACTCTTTTTTTTTTCAGGAAAGAGGCCACACCAGTGTCAAATTTGTAAAAAGGCATTCAAACATAAACACCACCTAATAGAACATTCGCGACTGCACTCTGGCGAGAAGCCATACCAATGTGACAAATGCGGTAAACGCTTCTCACACTCGGGGTCTTACTCACAGCACATGAACCACAGGTATTCCTACTGTAAGAGAGAAGCTGAGGAAAGAGAAGCAGCTGAGAGGGAAGCCCGAGAGAAAGGTCACCTGGAACCCACCGAGCTGCTGATGAATCGAGCTTACCTCCAGAGTATTACTCCTCAGGGCTACTCTGACTCAGAGGAACGGGAAAGTATGCTTAGAGACGGGGAGAGTGAAAGAGATAAGGAAGTTGAGGACGTTTACGATAAGCTTGGAAGGCAAGATGGGGAGGAAGAGTTTGAAGAGGAAGAGGAGGAGAGCGAGAACAAAAGCATGGACACAGATCCGGATACAATCCGGGACGAAGAAGAGAATGGTGAACATTCAATGGATGATAGTTCAGAGGATGGCAAAATGGAAATTAAGTCGGATCATGAAGAAGAAAACATGGAGGACGGCATGTAATAAACTACTGCATTTTAAGCTTCCGATTTTATTTTCTTCAGTAGTCTTGTTACTTGCTCGAAAAAACTCTGCTGAAAAGCTGTTCATGCACGTGCCTGAAGCTTCCAGGAAGCCTGTACAGATGAACTGAAAAAGGGGTGGGGGGGGGGGCAGTTCTGCCAAAACGAAAAAAAAAAAAAAATTTTTACGTAAAAGTCAAATGAAGTTTGAGGTGGTCGTTGTTGAGAACTGCATTATGCAAAATTTTTGTACAGTATTAAAAGGCCTAGAAACTGTGTGGTTTCAGAGACTAAACCCTGTGTTTAATAGCATTTATTCTTTAAGCACAAAATAGTTAATTGTACGAATTGCACTCTACTTATATATCACTACAAACTTAAAAAAAAAAAAAGATATTTCTAATTTATATTAATACATTTAAAAATAAAGAAGTGCCCGCACTGCTGTACATCAGTATTATCACTCCTATGTTTTTTTTGTTTTTTATTTTTTTTAATTTAAGGTGCTCGCACGCAATACACCTGTGTTAAAAATTCCTTCATAACTTTTCTTTGCTATTCATCATTTCTCAGTTAGGTAACCACACAATTTTAGGCCTATTTTATTTGTTTTTTTAATTTTATTTTTAATGTGAAGGAACATGAAGTGATGCATGTGTAAAAAAATGGAGATACTGAAGTCTTAAGAGTGACCTGGATATGATGGTAAAAGGAGGATGATGAGTTAAGAAAGCCTTTGTAATGTGGTTTTTTTTTTTAAAAAAAGCCTTATATGCAAACCTTTTAATCTGTGTGTTTCTGCAAGTGCCATCCTTGTACAGTGTTAAGAAGGTAACTTGAGTTACCAATGCACCAGCTTCAGTGTTATGCTTACCCTGTTCTTTGAAGCACCCATGTCAGTATTAGAATAGGTGGCAGTTCCTTAGTTTACATATGTTTGTGCAATTTTATTCTGTATTTTTTTTTTTTGTTCATTAATTTTGTCAGTATTACACCAAATTTTTTTGCAAGAATTTTTTTTCATTCATTTAATTTTAGGTCAAATAACATTTTATTTATGTGGCTCATTTTATATTTCCTAATTTTATTTATTTCATACTGTAGTGTACAGTATAATAGTTCTTCAATATAGATATATTTTAGTAAAAAAGGAACATGATGTTGATCACTTGGGCAAAATTTTACTTAAAGAGAAGAGCATTTATTGTGTTTTGGAACATTAATTGTGAAATGCGATTTTTTTTTTTTCAATTTTATTATTTTATTTTTGTTTTATTTTTGTTTTTCTTTCCAATTACTGGAAATTCCAAATTTGGGAACTTTTGATACGATCTTGTGAAAACACTGTATTTTCGACTGAAAAAATTCCACTTTCTTCATCTTGTTTTATAGCTAAAAAAAAAGAGGGACTGTTAAATACAATGTATGATACCATGACAAAAATCTTTCCTGACTTGTCTTTGTAAAAGTATTATTGAATTTTCAATTTGTAATTTCTCTTGAAAATGACCATGCTCAAATAAAAATGTAGCCAAACTATGCAAAGTGTGACTGACTACTTAAGAATACCATTTCATTTTGGTGATTTTAGTGCTTATCAGTAAAGTCATTTTATATGTTGAAATTTTATTTGAAAACAGTTTTATCTCTGAATTGTTGGTCAGATATTTGCACATGTAAACCCTAGTTCTTAAGTGTGGTTTTCTTTTTTTTAAAAAAAAAAGTGTGTATGCTCCTGTGGATCTGTGAAATAGTTCAACTGTATTTGCCTACCTGGAAGACACAATTTAAGCAACCCTTTATCCTTTATTATTCATAAATAAAACAGCCCTTGTTTTGACATGAATTAAATATATGTAATGTTATTTGTGCATAAAATTCCTAAAACAGGGCATTTATTTAATTTTATGAAGAAGAATTCTATTATTTTACTAACCGTGCTACTATTAAAAACTAACCACATTCAAAATACAGGAATTTAATTCATTCACTAGTCTTACCATGATTTTATTTATTTTTACTGTAACATAAATTGACCAACAAGTTGATTTAATAAAATATCTTATATTTAAGGAATCTGATTTAAATGTGTACAGAAAAATCCTCCAAATCAAGCACAAAACTGATTTACTCAAACCTAAAATTTTAATGATGTTGAATTTGAATTTTTCAAGTTTATTGCATTAATATGGCATCCCTATTTCCAGCAGTGCATTTATATGACTGTTAATTTAAACATGTCAGTTACAAAAGAAAAAAAATCCATATTCACACCCCCCCCTAAAAAAACACAAAAAAAAAAAACAAATGAAATATGAACAAAAGGACAGCACAGTAAATGAGAATACACTAGTATGTAGCATATATTTTATATATAAATGCTTAGAGCGTATTGAAATGAAAATATTCAAATTACAGCACTGTAAATGTATGAATGGTACCCAGGCAAAATACTCGGTGTCATTTACTGAAGCCGTTTAGAAAAAGAAAATGAAAACATACAATCTTCTCTGTAAACACAATTGTAATTTATTTTTCAAATGTACTTTTTTGCTTTATTCTTTTTGTTTTTTGTACTTCTACTTTCTGGTTTGATGTTCCATCTTTTTTATGTACACTGACCAAGAAAAAATAAAAAAAAGTAAAAAGCTTAAGTATCACTCAACACTATGCTATTCTGTGGGGCTGTCATACATGTTTAATTTGCAGAGGCTAGATGTGTACAATAGAATAACATAGCATTAAGTGATATATTCTGAAATGGCAACCGATTAAGCTGGCTCTCTTTTCAGAGTGATGTATAGATGTTAGCCAGGTATAGGAGGGAATATTTGGGCTGAATTATTAGAGAGTTGAGGATCTTTACTCAAAAAAATTGTGTTAATATTCACTTCAAGCCCCATGAAAAAAAATGTACATATGACCGGTGATTCAAAGTGAATAGGACTTTGCTTTTCATGTGATTGGATAACTGAAGTGAACATTCACACATTTTTGTGGTTGTAAACCTCAGTCATGAAATATGAACAAAGCATATCCCTCTCTAGTGTGTACTTGTCTCTATTAAGACCACTAAGTGTAATTTCTTTCTGTTGCCTTGTTCTTCTTCTATCAGCATGAATCACTTCTGACAAGTTTTCCTGATACCACGAGAAAAATGGTGACAGGGGAGGGACCTCCAGCAGACTGACACCTTCAGCTCTGTTCTCGTGAGCTGTGTGGAGGGTGTGTGTCCCTTCCCTCCAATCAACTCTCAGAGCTCTCTTCACTGAGCCCTGCAGTGTGTAATTTCAGCTCTCTGCCCCCAGTCTTCTGAATTCGCAGACAAGCTTTTTAAATTCAGCACTTCAAACAGATGTAGAGAAGAGAACACTACAGATAAACAGGTACAGCTTATGTAGGAGGATCTGTTTTATCTCTGTGTATCACCTGAGGCCATTCACTTCACTGGATATATGCAAGGGTTTTCAGCCACTTAGAGAAGATTCTCAACCTCTTTGGTAAATCAGCCCTATTAAGTCAATACCTACCAGCACAGTGGTAACCACTTGCTTTCCACGCTATAGAGAAAGACAGCTACAGTATGGTCGACTGATTCTGGGAGGGAGTCTATTAATGTTCTCCCAGAACCCCGCCCCCTGCACGCCCCAGGGCACACATCGGGTGCACTCTGTGAGTGGTGTGTCCTTCAGACACAGCAAAACACAGATCATGGTAAAATCACAGTGGCCCTTTACCATGTGATCAGCTGTGTCCAATCACAGCTGATCACGTAATAAACAGACTTGATGGTTATCGACAGTCTTTTCCTCACACGTCACAGTGTGATGAAAGGAGAGCTGGTAAACAGCAATTATGACAAGGACCATTCACACTGATAATCAGGGCACTGATCAGTGTAGCCTGTCAGTGCCCATCAGTGTAGCCTATGGGTGTCCATCAGGCAGCCTGTCAGTGCCCATCAATGCAGCCTATCGGTGCCGCCTATCAGTTTCCTTATCAGTGCCCATCAGTGCTGCCTATCAGTGCCGCCTCATCAGTGCAGCCTCATCAGTGCACATCAGTGCAGCCCATCAGTGCAGCCAATGGTGCCCATCAGTGCAGACTATCAGTGCAACCTCATCAGTGCACATCAGTGCAGGCCATCAGTGCAGCCAATGGTGCCCATCAGTGCAGACTATCAGTGCAACCTCATCAGTGCACATCAGTAAAGGAGAAAAATTACTTATTTGCAAAATGTTATAAAATTTTTTTTCCAAAAATGTTGGTCTTTTTTAGTTTGTTTAGAAAAAAATTAAAAACCTAGTGGTGATTAAATGCCACCAAAAGAAAGCTCTATCTGTCTCAATATAAAAATGTAATATGGGTATAGAGTTGCATGACCGTGCAATTGTCATTCAAAGTGTGACAGTGCTGAAATCTGAAAATTGGCCTGGGCAGGAAGCAAAAGTGTTCCTAAGGCAGCTGCGGGGGGTGCGCGCCGCACCGGGTGACACCTACCGCACAGGGTGACACCGGACCCGCTCCACAAAAAGGTAAGTTTTAAAGCAAGCCGACGATCCCTGCAGGATGGATCAGATCTGCAGATTGAGCATACTGGATCGGAGTCCAATCCATTATGCTCCCCAATCCGCAGATCTGATCCATCTTGCGGGGATCATCGGCTTGCTTTGAAACTTAACCCCGCATAGGTTGCAAGCCGATGATCCCCGCAGGATGGATCGGATCTGCGGATTGGGAAGCACAATGGATCGGACTCTGATCCATTATACTCAATCCGCAGATCCAATCCATCCTGCGGGGATTGTTGGAGGGGGTGTCACCAACTGTTCTGGTGCCAGCTGACACCAACCCTAGGGACGCCCCTGGCAGGAAGGGAGTGAACGTGCCCAATAGGCAAGTGGTTAAAGCTAAACTCCCGAAATAAAAAGAATATGATATGATAGCAGCTTTTTTCTTTTCTTGATTCAAGGAGTGTGCATACCTGCACTTGACTTGGTA